AGAGAGACTTTCTTCTTTCCCATCCCACCCCACGTGACTTTTGAGAATTACAATTTGTTTTTTTTTTTTTAAATATTGGCCAATCAAATTGCCCAACCTAACTGATTTATATTGGAATTTGTTTTATTTTTTAATTATTGTCCAATTAATTTGACCACTCTTCCAATATTTTTTAAGCCACTTGTTTGACACTGTTATTTATCTTAAAACTCACTATAAATTTATGCGAGCTTCAAAAAATGATTTGTAAAATATTACGAACTCGTAATTATTTGTTTTTTTTTTCTCTTACCATCAAATTCAACAAAGTAATAAAGAAAATTTGTCAATATTTTTATATATTATATGTTTTATAATCCATATTTTTTGGATATTATAAGCTATATAATAAATAGACAATTATTTATACGGTATATAATAAATTTATTCAAATTTGCCTAGGTCCTCGCCTAAGTGTAAAGTCATATCCATCATCTTTTAAAACTTTTCTAATTATACAGTTAAGTAATAGAACGATACAACAAGAAACGGTGCTAAATCATCCTTCAAATAATATTGTCGTTCAAACCCTCCTTCGACTATTTTGAGTAGTCCAAATCCTCTTTTGAATATTTCGGTTAGTGAAAATTCTCCTATGAATATTACGGGTAGTTCAAATAATTTTCTTGCAAATCCTGGACTTAGGCCTCGAATGAATGTTCACATTTTTTCAGGACCCTAAATTTTTTAAATTTTGCCCCTCTTCCAAAGAATTTTTGGCTTCACCATTGTCCGCAGCCATAATGTTTCACCACCTTTACTCTGTTCCCATCAGTAAGCGCGGCCACAGAAGAAGAAATGTTGTTGCGATGAGTAGTAGCGTGCGGTGTGCAATCAAAAATTTTTATCCTCTTATATATTACATATGAGTATAAATTTTTAATAAAAAAAGTTTTAATTGAAAAGAAAAATCATTATCATATGATTTTATTTATATTGCAGTTGATTAAGTAGAGCCTATACTTAGGACTGGTTTGGGGTTGTTTAATTTTTTTCAAAAGCAGTTTTTTAACGTTGGGGCCTTAATTGTGTTTGGTAGATAAAAAAAAAAAAAGGGTTTTTTTTTTTCTTTCAAAATTTTTGAGTTCAAAACAACAGAAACAACTCTACACATACTTCTATAAAAAAATTTTTTGTCAACCTTTTTTTTTTATTATTGAAGGCAAGTGAATAATATAATTTAAGGAAAATTGTATATTAACAACCCTACCCTCATTTTCTTTTTCTAAAACCATTTTAGCACTATAGTTTACTAAACATTTACCTTTTTTTTCATTAAAAAAAAAAAAAAGAGCACGCAGTAATAGAAGTAGCCTTTAAAAAAAAACGCAGAAACCCCAAACTAGTCTTTAAAATATTAATTTTTCTATTTTCTCTAACAATAACAAAAACTTGTGTATTACTTTTTTCTATTTTTCTCTAGCAATAAAAAAAAAAAAAAACTAAGCGTATTACTTTTTTTTCACAACCATAAGCATATTTCTGTATCTCTTTTTTAATCATGCTCTTTTTGTTTTAAATGGATGAACCTTAAATCACTATTTCATGGCAATTGAAAATTATTCAATTAGTAAGAATAAGATGCTTATTTCAATGAAGTTTGAATATTGATTGTTGAATTTTATATGAATATATTGTCCAAATTATTATTATTATTTTAAATAAAGAAGATTTTTTTAATTCGCACAGAACCCAAAAAAGTCAGAAACGGCTGTTGTAACATGGAAGAAGGCCATGGACATGACCAAAAAGAAGCATCCACCATCTTGTCGTACAAAAGAGTCCCCGTATCATGCAAGCAACGATGCAACGATGTGAATTGCGCATGCAGTGGGAGTGCGGCTGCGGAAGTGAGAAATATAGAAGGAATGAGAGCACAACGGAATTGAGAATATATTGACTACCAACCTGAGAAGTTAGATGTTAATCCTGGCACTCGTGAGGATTTAGATCTCCTCCACTATATTGGATTATGAGGAAATTTAAAATTTCAAAGGAATGTTAAAATTATGAAATTTATATTCTAGATTTTGTAAATTTTTTGTTTGGCTAACTTTAAGAATAAAGAAATTCAAATACGAAATTTAAAGTGTATCTAGAATCATTAATAAATTTGTGGAAGATAAAAAGTTAGAAAATGTTACTAGCGCAGGTGGAGGCGGCAGCATTCGTGATGGTGGGTGGTGATGACGAAAGGCGGTAGCGGTGGCCGTGGCACTTCTCTACGAAGAACCTCGCATCATTAAGTACTGGGCCAACCGCGGAGATTTGTCTCCTTCAGTTTCAAAGCGGACATGCACATCAAGGAATCACTTTCAATCACTGCGGCGGCTGACGACTTCAAATCTACTAGCAATTGGGCCCCTTCCCTTATAGCCATAGCCTCAGCAGGCAAAGCAGACTGAAGACGGTTTGGAAAGTGATCATTGTGACAAAGTTTTAAATTAAAAAAAAAAATTACTTAAAATTGTTATCAATTTTTAGGTTTTAATGTTCATCTTATGAACCATTTGTAGTTAATTCTTCCACATCCTTTCCAATTTCCACCAACTTTTTCATCCCCTTCTTTTATGCACACAAATATATATAGGGAGTTTTAACAAAAAGTCCGCGGTACTGTTCACTTTAATGAAAAACCATATTTTTATATTAAAAAGTCAAACTTGGTACTATTCAGTTTATCCTTTATTTTGTTCTTATCGTTAAAACTCAAAGTGTTCAAACCCTTTTTATTAATTTTCCTATATATATATATGTATATATGTATGTATGTATATAATATATATTGAATGTGCTTAAATCTAAGGGCCTCAACTAAGTTATTAGCTTAAAAGAATTTCAAAAAAAAAAAAAAAATCAAATAGTTTAACTAAAGGAATTTTGCAATGTCAAAAATGATCTTAGCTTCCATTTTTCTCAGGAATTTCGCAAAGTGAAAATCGATCCATCTTCCTTCTTAACCTTTTAGGATTTGTAACTATTATATTTCATAGACGAAAGCCATTGATGTAATGAATACTTCTTAACTCGGGTTAATATAAAATCCAAAAAAGAAAATATTCCATTCACGAAATTTCTTTTATCTCCCATGAAAAAAAATAATAATAAGGTTCTCAGTCCATTGATTAAAACCTTATTGCTTTTCAATTTTTATCATGGTCCTTAATTGTTAATAAATGTGATTATTTCAATAGTGAAATATATACATGTCAAGATAATTAAATTTTATTTCCAAATATGTTTGTTTAGTGATAGGAATGTTACATTTGATATATTTATATTTATGGCTAAACTTTGTATCATATATTTCTATTTTTAGATTGTAGCCATTTTTAATTTGCAACTTTTTTTTTTTTTTTTAATTTGTACCAATTTTCTTTCCAGCTTTAATTTGCACCCATATTTTTTATATTTTAAATTTTTATTTGTACAAAATAATTTTTTCAACCTTTTGTTTTTACCCATTATTAATGGACCTTTTTTATTTATTTATAAAATTTACCAATTTTTTATATGCATGTAAAACATACCCAAATTTATTTTTATTTTTTATTATAAGTGTACTCATATTTTTAAAAATAAAAAGATCCCTTTTTTTATTTTTTATAATCTAGAATGCATTCATAAGCAATTACTATTATTATTTTTTGGTTGGAACCCATAAGCAATTTTGAATAATTGAATTGGTAGTGTAAATGAAGTAAAATAACGGTTTGAGTCTTTATTGGTACGTATTATTGCATCTCTTTTATTATTATATGGCAGGAGAAGGACTTCAATTCAAAACCTAAAATGCATAACAATTAGGGGCCAAAAACTGCAACTAAACTAAATCAAGAATTGCAACTAAACTATCCCAAATTAAATGTCTTTTGAAATTAGTTACACGGTATCCGGGACCATGAAATTTTAATATATTATGGACAAAATGGACACTTTTTTATTGAGCTCAGTTCATAATTTATTTCAACGACCCATCCGTTTATCTTTTAAATCTTTTCTTAAAGATTATTTCTACTAAAAGTCACCTAAATTCGAAACCATATAACTATTAGATTTAATGGTAGTCTTTAAGTGTTTTTTTTTTTTTTGAAGAGTCTTTAAGTTTTCTTCGTAGAACCATATTCATCTATTTTATCACTACAAATAAATGTCTGGTTTTTTATTTATCTAATTTTTTACAAAGATGACTTGTGGATGAAGAATTGAAATAAAGACATTTCGATTTCCTAAAAAGTTACGAACGAGAACTACTATGAAATGTTTCCAAACGTGTGTTAAAATGGGTGTCCCCGATCCTGGCTAGTTGTATATAAAAAGGGTATATATGGTGACATATCAATTTCGTCGTTTATGACTTATTTTGGTATAAATTATAATATCATAGTGGGAAGATTTGGTACGTCCAAAGTTCTCTCTCTTTGAATGCATTAATTAACACTTCTATCTTCATGAAAATAATTTGTCTTGCATATACTCAAAAATAAATTATAGTTTTTATTTTATTTTGCCTATTGAACATTTTTTTATTTTTTTAATTTAGTAGTGAAATCCACTCAACTCCGGCATTGCTATAATGAGAAATAACTTTTAGGAGAATTTATTAAATAAACAAGAAAAATAAATCGTAGTTGACTATTTGCAAAATTATTTGCCCTTCCACCCAGAACCGATCAATTTTTCCCTCCCACTGCCAATGTCAAACAAAAATATACTTAAAAAGGGACACACCCATTTTCCTCCTGCATTGTTTGACTCCATTTATTCTAGGGTTTAGTTCAACTCAGCCGCTGTAGACCAAAAAATATACGTAAATGAAATCAGCCGTCGAATCTCTCTAGATGAAATCCGACGGCAACCTCAGAATTATTAATTTCCCAGAGTTTAGATATATCTTTTATATATATCGATCAAACACCTCTCCTGCATATATATATATATATGAGTGCCTGAGCAAATTAATGTCCAAATCTCAGTTATCACATAGACAGCGAGAATGAGTCCCATCCTTCTCCTCGTCTTTCTTGCCTTCTTCTGCTCTCTCATCCACATAATCTCAAGATCTAAACACCCAAAAAAACTGCCTCCTGGCCCTTGGGCGCTGCCAATCATTGGTAACCTTCATATGCTAGGCAACCTCCCACACCGCAGCCTCCAACACTTAGCCAAAAAGTATGGACCTATAATGTCCATGCGCCTGGGGAGCAAAACCACCATAGTGGTCTCGTCCCCCAAAGTTGCCGAGCTATTCCTTAAAACCCATGACACCATCTTCGCTAGTCGCCCCAAAGTCCAATCATCGGACTACTTGTCGTATGGCACAAAGGGTATGGGTTTTAGTGAATATGGTCCGTACTGGCGCCATATTAGGAAGCTGTGCACACTTCAGCTTCTTTGTCAGTCAAAAATCGAGGGCTTTGCTCCGCTGAGGAGGGAGGAGGTCGGGTTGTTGGTGCAGTGGCTGAAGAAGGCCGCGAAGGCTGGAGAAGTGGTGGATCTTAGTGAGAAGGTCGGTGAGCTTATTGAGGACATAACATATAGGATGGTGTTGGGAAGCAAAAATGATGATACGTTTGATGTCAAGGGAATTATTGAGGAGGTCATGTTGTTGACAGGGGCAGTCAACATTGGTGATTATGTTCCTTTCCTCAGCCCATTTGATATTCAGGTATACATGTGTGTGTTCATTTCTTTTAATAGACATGAAATATGAACTAATGATAGCATGGTGATATAAGTGTACGTGTCCTTTTAGGTTACCATATTTGTTAAAAAAAAATTTTGAGCGCGTATTTCAAACTTAAAAGACTTTTTACTTAAGAGTGACTGCTAATTTTTTTAATATGAAGATAAAAATAAGGAACTTCTGAAATATTGCATTAATAGGTTCGCTCCCATTTACACAAACACAAAATGCGATGCTTTGTACACGTATGTCATTCATATATCATGCAATAGTTCGGTATCATCGATTCATCATTGCATGATCTCCTTCTCAGGGATTGAACAAACGCATGAAGAGACTTAGCAAGACAATCGACCAACTTCTGGAAAAGATAATTGGGGAACACGAACAAGTTTCTAAAAGTGAGCAACTACAAGGCCGCCCTCAAAATCATAAGGACTTTGTGGAGATGCTGCTTTCATTGATGAACCAACCATTAAACCCTAACGACGAGCAAGTCTACGTAGTCGACCGAACTAATGTGAAAGCCATCTTACTGGACATGATTTCGGGTGCCTTTGACACATCAGCGACCGCGATTGTTTGGAACCTTGCCGAACTCTTGAGGCATCCTAGGGTAATGAAGCTTCTCCAACAAGAGCTCCAAACCGTGATCGGAATGGATAGAACGGTGGAGGAGAGCGATTTGCCAAAGTTGGCCTACTTGAACAAGGTTGTCAAAGAGAGCTTTAGGCTACATCCGGTAGCACCGTTGTTGATTCCACATGCATCCATGGAGGACATCACGGTTGATGGATATCATATACCCAAGAAATCCACCATCTTTGTGAACATCTGGACGATTGGGAGAGATCCAAGTGTATGGTCAGATAACGTGGAAGAGTTTTACCCTGAAAGGTTTAATGACAGTGACGTTGACCTTAAGGGGCATGACTTCCAGCTTTTACCATTTGGGTCCGGAAGAAGAGGGTGCCCTGCCATGCAACTAGGGTTAACGACGGTTCGTCTAGCTCTGGCAAATTTGGTCCACTGCTTCAATTTTGATCTCCCAAGTGGCCTCCTCCCTAACGAGTTGGACATGACTGAGACTTTTGGCCTGTCGCTGTCTAAAACCAAACACTTGCTTGTCGTGCCCACATATCGCCTACACAATTAACATTCATAGAGATTTGGTTTTGCATATGGTGTGTATGTACCATTGTTCTAAAAATTCTCACCCAATGCTGTCTAGGTTCCTTCTAACACACATTCGGCGTCTAAAAATTAAGAATTGGCACCTAGCCCACCTTGGTCGGGACTCTCACTTACAAAATATGATAACTTTTATTTTGCGTTTTATTTTTTTTCAATAAATCGTAAGCGACTTATTGAATACTTGGATGAATAATCTATGTTATTTTATTTTACAATTTATGTATCTTAATCCAATTATGTAATTTATTTTATATATTTTGTAATTTATATATACATATACTAAATAATGAAGTACCTATTTTTCTTTTTTTGATCCCATTTGTTACGTTAGATCGCCAAACCTAAATAAGATAATCGATGACTTTATTGTAAAGATCCATCTTCATATTCATGACACTGTTCCAATCATTCAAAAGGACCATAAACAAAATGTAATCTAACACAACTGGTAGGATTTCGTAATTTAACTAGTTTAACAACAACCACCACCACTATCAAGCCTTATTGCACTAAGTAGGGTATAAATCCTAGAATACCATTGCACTTAGTTTTGCACCAAGTATGTTGTCTTCAAAATAACCAGTTTATCAAATGACAAAATTTTTTGTTATATCCCCAATTTGTTCTGGCTGTATATATACACATATTCGACACCTCCTTTGAGTCCCATATAACTATTCTATTAGCAATAGCCATCTTCCTCTTTTTTAGCTTCCTTCGTTCTCTCGTTCACATCCTAACCTCTGGATTCTGGAGTCCAAATCACCGAAAACTGCCGGTTGGCCCTACGACACTACCGATCATTGGTAACGTTCATATAATAGGTAAGCCCTCCGACGCCTAGCCAAAAAATATGGACCTATAACGTCCATTCGCCAGGCACCAAAACCACCATCGTCCCCCAAGCCGCAGAGCTACTCTTGAAAACCCACAACACCATTTTCGCTAGCCGCCTCAAATTCCAAGCCCCTGTGTGCTTATTTGATGGTGCAAAGGGCATTGTCTTGGCTGAACATGGATGCTATGCTACGTAAGAAAATCCTACTAGCATTAGATGCTACGTGAGATATCTAAACTACTCTAAAATACGGGAATTGGAGATTCGAATTTGGAAGCAAGAGGGCCCTGGCCACCCCCATCCGCGTCAAAGCGGCAAATAAAATAAGTTAAAAGATGGCTTGTGCTAAAACAATTATCTTTCAAATACGATTACGATTTATATCATAAGAACAAACTGTAACTGTAATCCTGGACATTTAAAAGTAACTATACCTTCAAAAACTGTGAGTGCAACGTGATACTCTGCTTTAATACTACATAACTGTAGACATCAAAATTTCGGTGAAATGAATGTTGACCAATAATTAAAATTTCAACGCTCACGTATCACATAAATTTTACATGTAGCGTGTGCCTCAACGAAAAATCGAAATAAATTGGAAAAGTCATCAAATATGACACGTGTCAATACCTGGCAGAAATGATTTATTTCATCTGATTATTTAAATCCAAAAATCAAGTTTTGGAATTCTATAAATAGGGAGCCAAGGCATTCATTTTGGGGAAAGGAAGAAAGAAGGAAGAAGGAAAAGAAGAAAAGAAGGAAGGAAGAAAGAAAGAAGCCTTGAAACTCTAAAGCTCTCAAGCAAATCCCGAAGGATCAAGAAAGCACTCTTCGTTCTTCGTGAAATCCAACCTTCAAGATCAAGCCCCAACGGCCCTTGAAGAACTTCCACCAACTCAAGATCAAGCCCCGACGGCCCCTTGAAGAAAGTGTTCATCGTTCATCATCCGTTCATCCTAAGATCAAGCCCCAACGGCCCTTTGGATCAACAACCTCAACAAATCCACACATCCAATCGTTCTTCAAGATCAAGCCCAAAAGCCCTTGAAGATCCGCTCATCCACCAACCTTCAAGATCAAGCCCAAAAGCCCTTGAAGATCCGCTCATCCACCAACCTTCAAGATCAAGCCCCAACGGCCCTTGAAGAACTTCCACCAACTCAAGATCAAGCCCCGACGGCCCCTTGAAGAAAGTGTTCATCATTCATCATCCGTTCATCCTAAGATTAAGCCCCAACGGCCCTTTGGATCAACAACCTCAACAAACTCATACACCCATTCTTCAAGATCAAGCCCAACGCCCCTTGAAGATCCATTCATCAACTGTTCATCCTTAGATCAAGCCCCGACGGCCCTTTGGATCAACAACTCATCCACAAACCCACATCCTACGAAGATAGAATCAGAGGATCAAATTACAAAGAGATTGTAACCCCAAAATCATTAATACAAAATATATATTTTGTACACGTATTCTTGTCGCTTGTTTCAGGAATTTCTCGTGTTTACAATAACCATTTCAATCAAAACAAAATTTTGCTCAAAGCTCTAAGATTTAAATGTTGTCTAGGAGTAAATACACCATTGCATTTGCCTTCCGTTGGACAAACAAAATATCACCAATGTTGCCAAAAACAGGGCATCCTCCCCTTCTCTAGTTAGTCATCGTCTGCAAAAAAACAGAAAAGAATGCACACGATTAAGTTTACGTTTTTAACTTTGAAGAATAAGCAGTTTCGTTTAGTATTATGGAATGACCAAGAGTGAAAATTAATGTCGAAATAAATTGGTTTTGCAAGAAAGCAATGTCAAGAGATAAAATTGCACACACGCCACAAGGAACACCTAGTGCAACATAAGTAGGCGGACTGCATAAATTACTAAAGTATCAGGAAAAACCCCGGTTGTGCAGAAAAGGACTGCACTCCTCTACATCTACCTTAAAATTAAGAAACGGAAAAACAGAAGACAACAGAACTAAAACATCACACTACTTATTACAACACAACAGGATATATCACCAACCAACACCACAAACCAGCATATGAGAACGAATGCGATAAGCTGAAAATAACACGCATAAATTAGTCCATGACCCTCTTACTAAAGGAAGCAGCCAGCCTAAACGAGACAAGAAAGGAGAAAAGGAGACATGAAACGGATACAACACAAATAAGGAGTCCATGACCTTCTTCCTCGTTACTACGACCGTTTCTGATGTTTTGGGGCTATGTGCGAATTAAAAAAAAAGGGTTTTTTATTAAAAAAATAATAATTATTTGGACAATATATTCATACAGAATTCAACAATCAATATTCAAACTTCATTGAAATAAGCATCTCATTCTTACTAATTGAATAATTTCTAATTACCATGAAATTGTGATTTAAGGTTCATCCATTTAAAACAAAAAGAGCATGATTAAAAAAAGAGAGAAATACGCTTATTGTTAGAGAACATAGAAAAATTAATATTTTAAGGGCTAATTTGGGGTTGTTACATTTTTTTTTTAATGAAAAAAAGCAGCTAAGTATTTGGGCAATTTTCCTTAAATGATACTATCCATCTGCCTTCAATAAAAAAAAATGTTTCTGCTGTTTTGAACTCAAGATTTTGAACAAAAACACTTTGTTTTTTTTTTTTTTATATCTACCAAACACAATTAAGGCCCCAACGTTAAGAAACTGCTTTTGAAAAAATTTAAGCAACTCCAAACCAACCCTAAGTATAGGCTCCACTTAATGAATTACAATATAAATAAAATCATATGATAATGATTTTTTTTTTCAGTCAAAAACTTTTTAATTAAATTTTTTATACTTATATGTAATATATAAGAGGAAGAAAAATTTTGATTGCACACCGCACGCTGCTACTCGTCGCGACAACATTTCTTCTTATGTGGCCGCGCTTACATGACAGTGGATGGATGGTGAAATATCTGAGATGGGAGCGGGGTAAAGGTGGTGAAACATTATGTTGAGAAAAAGGAATGATTTGGAGTGATCCTCTGACTTTGTATATTTAATCCCCTTCCTTGATCTTAGGAGTGTAGGTGAAATTATATCTTGTATAGGCTGATTTGTAGCATCTAAATTGATCCCCATGTTGTATATAATAATCTTTTGTACCAATACATTACAATATATGACATTCAGTTTTTACCTGGCATCCGAGCAGCAACGCTCCTGGTGACCTACATCAACCTTCCGCTCAAAACACTAGCCTTTTCCCATGGCTGAACTTACCAAAACGGAAAAGTCCTCAACCAAGCTTGAGGCAAACCCATATAATGATCCAAATCATCCAATGTACCTGCACCATTTAGATCAGCCCAGTGCCATCCTCGTCCTGCAACCGCTGAATGAAGAAAATTATGGAACTTGGAGTCGTGCCATGACCATGGCTCTAAGCGCCAAGAACAAGGAAGGCTTTATCGATGGTTCTATCAACAGACCAAACAAATCCTCCACCTCTGAATTGCAGCAATGGAACTGTTGTAATAACCTCATAAAATCGTGGTTAATAAATTCAATCTCACAGGACATTCGAGCAAGTGTTATCTACAATGAAGTGGCTGCTGAAATCTGGAACGACTTGAAAGATCGTTAATTCTCGTGCCAACAATGTTAATCTCTTTCACATAGAGCATGCAATTCATAGTTGTACTCAATCAGGCATGACCATAAGTGCTCACTACACCAAACTCAAGAGCCTTTGGGATGAGTATGATGCACTGTGCACCATTCCTATATGTGAGTGTGGAACTATGAAGGAAGTCATGCAATACCGTGAGAACCAAAAGACTATGAAATTCCTCGTGAGACTTGACACAACATATGCTATTGCTCGCAGTCAAATTCTACTTATGGACCCTCTACCTTTAGTTAACAAGACGCACTCACTCATTTTACAAGACGAGAAGCAACGTAGCGTCTCCTCTACCACAATAACCATACCTGATACTGTACTCTTCGTAGTTCGAGACGGCGACCGTAACTCCGGGAGAGGCTCCACACCACGGAACCCTCATCTAAAATGTGACCGATATGACATGGTCGGGCACACTTCGGACACTTGTCGATCACATCTTAAGTGTGACTTTTGTGGTTGAAAAGGATACATAATTGATGCTTGTCTTAAACTCAAGAACGCCAAGGAGAAGGACGATGCACAAGATTAGCGTACATCCAAGACATATCATGTT